CTATCAAAAGTTATTCAAAAAATATCAGAGTCTATTATATTTTGAAATAGACTGTAGAATTCCAATAATTCCTTTTAATGATACTAATGATGTGACATGCATCAATTATGGCAAAATGAGAAATTGGCGATAGGATTTTGTCCCATATTACATAGTTTTAAGAAAAAATCTTTTTTTCGATAATCTATCCACTTCTTTGAGAACTACTTTCATCTTTGAATTCGACCAAGATATTCACGAACAGCTGTGTAGAAAATAATCAAATCTGTATCAATCACAAATATCTAGATTTTCTTGCAATGATCTTATAGAAAATGATGATGCAGTAAATCACTTTATTTTTATGACAATTCGCAATATTTTAATGATGATTGTCATCTTTCGTTTCCAGTATGTAATTCTAATATGATTTCTTTCTTTGACACACACATAGTACGAATGCGTTCACCCTGTTTTTCTTTTCTGCGTATAATAATTACGCCAACATTCTTTTTCTTTTAATAGAAAATAGTGCGAATGCGTTCACCTTGTTTTTCTTTTCTGCGTATGTACTCCATATAGGTATATATATAGAGAGAAAAATTTCAACGATTCATTACACAATAAAACTAATACGTTTAGAAGATTGTTTATTTCTCTTTGTAAAACTAAATATGTGCTCTGGATCATCTCAATATCAATCAATGCCGGAACGTCAATTAGGCAAAAATGGTCCAAAAATATCAGCTATTGGTTTTGGATTAATGGGTTTAGTTTCAGCACCTGGCGTTTCGACGTCGGATGATGAAAGATTTAAACTGTTGGATCGTGCTATTGAACTTGGTTGTACTTATTTTGATACTGCAGATATATATGGTGATAATGAAGATTTATTAGGAAGATATTTCAAGAAATATCCACATCAACGGAAAAAAGTTCGAAAAAATATTTCATTTTCGAATAAACTTCGAAAGATTATTTTTAATTTCTAGATATTTCTTGCAACCAAGTTTGGTAATGTGGTTAGTTCTGATTTTAGCTCTCTTTCAGTTCGTGGTGATGCACAATATGTTCGAGAAGCATTTGAAAAAAGCTTAACACGACTCGGTCTTGATTCAATCGATCTGTACTATGTACATCGTATTGATAAAAAAGTACCTATCGAAGAAACAATTGGTGTTTTAAAAGATTTTGTTCAACAAGGTAAAATCAAATATATTGGTTTATCTGAATGTTCAAGTGATACACTTCGACGAGCATATACAATTCATCCAATTTCTTGTGTACAAGTTGAATATTCACCATTTAGTTTAGATATTGAAAAACAAGAAATTGGTCTTTTAAAAACATGTAGAGAACTTGGTGTAGCAATTGTTTGTTATTCACCTCTTGGTCAAGGTATTCTTACAGGAGGAATTAAAAGTCCAGATGATTTTCAACCAAATGATTATCGAAGATTTTATCCACGTTTTTCCAAGGAAAATTTTCCAAAAAGTCTTGAATTAGTCAATAAATTAGTATTAATCGCTAAGAAGAAAAATTGTACACCAGGTCAATTAACGTTAGCATGGATTCTTGCTCAAGGCAATGATTTTATTCCCATACCAGGTACACGCAGAATTAAATATTTAGAAGAAAATATTGCGGCAACTCAAATTAATTTAAGTAAGGAAGAACAACAAGAAATTCGAACAGCTTGTGAAACAGCTGATATAGTGGGTGAACGTTTTCCTGAACACTTATGTGTCAATTTATATGCCGATTCAGCTCCGAAGAAAAACTAAAATATGATTATTTTATTTGAAAACAATAAATAAAATTAAGAAATATGTAAAACAGTTTGTATAAGTGGTGTAATTTGATCAATAGTTTGTGATGCTTTTATTTGTATATTAATAAATTCTCGAAAAATTGTAGCACATGTTTGACGTTGAAAAATTTCTGTAAGCATACGAGTAAATTGTTTATATGTTTTCATTTCACCTTGTTTATCAATTAAATAATTCCAAAGTATTTTCGTATAATAAGATTGAGCTCGATATACAGATAAAGAATCGTTAAGTAATGGTTCATTTTCATTCATTGATAAACCTTTAGAGAATAGAAGAATAATCGTCAAAAGTGACACTAATACTAAATCTTGATTAAGTGTTTCCATAGAAGAAATCATTAAATTTATTACTTTCGTATACATATCACTCGATGGATCACATACACTATAAAATTGACGTTTATTTTCTACTCCATCATATTCTTGATAGGATGAACTGGATTGATTTCTGGATTTACAATTATAACATAGAATAACACTAAAAAGTGAAAGAAGATTATATTTTATTAAAATAAAACGATCATCAGCATTCAAATTTTCGAATTCATTGATTAATCGACAATATTTAATGATAAGAAGAGCAAGTTTGTTATGCGATTCTGACCAAGAGATTAATGCAGAAACACGATCAGTTAAATCGATCAGTTCTTTAGATCCTTCGAACTGATTTTGAAAAATCGATAAAAAATCTGATTGAATTGTATCAATAACAATCAAATCTTCCGCTGTTAATGATTCTGAAAATATATTTTTATCATTATTATTAAATGTTTGAGAAATACATGTTGAATTTGTTGATGAAATATTTGGATTTTTTTCAAAACCCTTTCTTCGTTGTATTTCTTCTTGACTTAAAATAAAATCTGTTCTCATTCCCATAGCAAAACATCGATTTAATCGACATCGATGACATTTTGAACGTTCTCCATTTACAATTTTACATTGGTTTTGATTTCTAGAAGAACATTTTAATTTTTTCTAAAAATAATTTCAATGAAGAAAACGAATCAAAGAATAAATAAACTAACCAAATCTTGATGAGCATAACGATGAAAAAATGCTTTACATGATGAACAAGAAAGAACATCGTAATTAAATCCAATTGCACGATCACCACAAATTTTACAAATTAAATCGATTGATTTTCTTAATAATTTTCTTTGTTTTTCTTGATCATCCTGATGTGAATCGAGTGCTCGTTTATATATTTGATCATTTTTTGAATCCTATGAAAACATATTTATATGATTAACTAAAGTTTTAAATATTAAATACAAACAAGTTCTGATAGACCAGCAAGAAAAGTCCAATTGATACTATTATTATTTATCATTGAAGTAACTTGTTTAGGATCATCTAAATCAATAATATGTGTATCTTCAACTTGTTTTGAAGCTATTTGATGAACTAAATCTTCATTTGATGTTATAAATATCATTTTAGTTTGTTTTGCCATGATTCGTCCATGTATGATGTTTATTTTCTTAGTTATTCTTCAACAAGGTTAATGCTGAATGGACTGAAAATAACAACAACAACAACTGCGTCGATTGAGAAAAGAAAAAAATAGCGTGAAGGAAAGAAGAAAAACACACAAAAGAAAAAGAAAGAAGAAAAATAGTAATTATGTTTCATCTTTATAATGCGTTTCTTCATATGAGTACGTTCACGTTAGCAACTACACTGTAGGTTTTTATTTACGAAGGTTTATTTATAATTATTATGTATATTCAATAACAATTGATAAAGAAAATATCATTGAAACATCTATTGAAAGAGAAAAATAAAATAAAAATAAGTACTGCTTGCAAATATTTACGGAATTGATCGCTTGATACCTCTTAAAAAATGCATTACCCGTATTCTATATTCTCATGTATTACTCATCCCATCAAAAGGCACAGATTTTGTGTTACTATGATTCTCGGAAAGGAAACACAAAGATGAAGTATTATTTTATGAGCTACTGGAATTACACAAAATATGACCAGAATAGTTTCTTTTTTCCATTTT